TTGGAGAACCAACTTTCACTTGATTTTTATTTTCGGGAACCAACTTGGACCTGATTTCTATTTTGGGGAACCAACTTTCAAAATCGTCATTTTGGGGAACCGGATTTCTATTTTGGGGAACCAACTTTCAAAATCGTCATTTTGGGGAACCAACTTGCATTTGATTCCTATTTTGGGAAACCAACTTGCAAAATAATTATAGAAAAATAACTAAAATTCATTTCTTTTCAAAAATTAATGCAATAAAATCTATTTTTTCATTTCAAATCTCGTTTTTTTTAATTCAGATATCAAATTGAAGATTTTCGAAAAAAAATCCAAATTACCACGATAAAAATTGTTTTTTTTCTRATGCAATAAAAAAATCAATTTAATAGAAAAAAAATTAATTGATGCAATAAAAATAAATATTAAATATCACATCCAAGATTTTTATATCTAACCAATCTGTGTCAATATTAAAGTTTAAATCAAATTTGGCAAATCCAACCAAAAGTTTGATAGAGACCCTTAAATTATCTGTTACATGTTCAACAGATCAATCAGACCCTTAAATAAACAAAAAGTTCGATAGAGACTCTTAAATGACGATTTTAAAAGTTGGTTCCCCAAAATAGGAATCAAGTTAAAGTTGGTTCTATTTTGGTGTAATTTTCCCATTTTTCTATAATTATTTTTCAAGTTGGTTCCCCAAAATAGGAATTAGGTGCAAGTTGGTTCCCCAAAATGACGATTTTGAAAGTTGGTTCCCCAAAATAGGAATCAGGTRAAAKTTGGTTCCCCAAAATGACGATTTTGAAAGTTCGTTCCCCAAAATAGGAATCATGTGAAAGTTGGTTCCATTTTGGTGCAATTTTCCCTAAATAGAAAAACTTGTAGGTAAGATTAGCCCCTTTTTTGGACATAAGCTTGATTTTGAAAAATAAAGGCTAGATTTTGGGGTCCTCGTATATTAGTAGTTCAGATTTTTCTGACTGTTATTTTCAAAGTCCCATGGAATTAATTGAGGTATGCACAAGCTGTCCTGAACACTTATAGTTACCAAAAAAGAAAACTCCATTGTAACAAATTAATATATTATCGTTATTCCTTTGGTTTGATTATTGAAAATATGTATATTATACCTTTCATTGTTGTAACGAGCAACCTTCGACCCAACCCACCATCACCCCGTCCCAATAATATTATGTGAGTGGCAAATAAAGTTCGTAAAAGCTTGATTAGTTGATGCCTTGATGGCATAAAAATCTAGTGCCCATAAGAGCCCAATCACTAACGGGATTGTTGTCATGCTCAAACCATCACCCGTTTGTGCCTCAATACCACCTTGAAAGGTCGAAACCAACAGTGTTATGCCTTGAAGGCATTACCATAAGGTCATTGTTGTCCTTCATGGTTCCAAACCATTTTGCAGATCCAGTAACATTTTTGAGAGAAAAGATAGTTATGCTGCAAGTTTGTAAAACTGGAATAATTCGACATATATTGTATTGTTAAACCAAACCAAACCAAACCAAATGAGCCTACCAAACTTTACCCACGGGCTGTGGGTAGGGTCTGTGGGAGATAAGTTGTATGCAAATCTGAACTCCCTCTTATTGCATACCAGATTTGGACCTACCAAGGCTGTTATGATGGTTCGTACCACTGTAAGGTTGTTCTGTTTTAATGTAGAAAATTTTGATTTTCAAAGGTCCAACCTTTAACGTTGTATATCTCTATATTTCTTAAACACTAAACTTATAACAAAAGTTCATTACAACTTTTCGTGTTCTCGTCTCTTAATTTTTTTATTGTTATAGCTTTTATGCTCACGATAATTTCTGCAAGGTTTGGAGTTACGCCGATCTTTTTTGAGTAACCATGGGTTTTCAAATCCATTTACGCACATCGACTAAACCCTAGAAGATCACAAATGGTCTGAGGTCATCGCACGTAAACTTCTATAACAACACACAGTTTTGGCAGTTCCTAAGAACCTAAAGAAAATAAGATCTCCACTACATCTCTAAGGGGCTGTTTACCAAACTCTTACCTTGGTAAGCGCTTACCAAGTAACATTACTTCTTCGGATGAATATGATATGAACCAAGAATCTTACTCTGTAAGAACGAGACAAGGACCAAGAGTCTTACTCGGTAAATAAGGGCAGCAACTCTTACCACGGTAAGTGTTTACCGTGTAAATTGTTGCATACTATGTCGTTTTGGTGAACTAAAATTTTACCCGGTAAGTAAATAATAGTATTAAATTTTACCGCTAAACACTTACTGAACAAATGTTTGGTAAATGACCCCTACGTCTTAACCAATATGCCACAACCAAACTGATTCTTATTCCCAGTTCTCTTCATTTTTAAACTACTATTTCTTTGATGTTTTTTTATCTGCCTCTTTATAACACGTGAATTATATTAACAAAGGTTTTTCTTACATCATATATTTGAATGTTTCATTTAATATTAGATTCTACGTTTCTATTAATATTTTATGTGATAAACAAGCTTTTAGCCAATTTTAATATGATATTTTTCATGTAAATTGTTATAAGTAATTACAATATAACCTCACAACTTGAAACTAATGTCATCAATAATTACAAAATCTATCAGGTTACAAAATAAAAATAAATAAAAACATTTATTACATTATTTTTTTTGAAATATATAATATTTATATACAACAAATAAACGCACACTCTTCTCACCTTTGGTGCGGTTTGAACCCAGGAGGCTAAAGACTATGATACCGCTAGACCAAATGCTCTTTGGTTACATTAATTTAAGAAGAAAAAAAGAAGGAATTTGTTGTCACACTAGTAGAAACAAAAAAAAAAACTTGATTTTGGTCTTAAAATTACAACTTTGTTTAGAAGGCAACTTTTTTCTTCAAACCTAAGGCTATATTTAAAAATAAAACGCAAAATTTATTTGCATTTCTCAATATTTGGAAAATCATATAAAAAAACATAGACAAATAGGCAATCACATATTGGACGGAGTTTCAATGAAAACGAAGGTTATGATGAGAAGAAATCTCCACCGTTGAATCAATTCTAATCAAAGATCAACAGTAGTGAGATACACCGGATCATATTCTCCTGAGAAGCATAATTCATGGGAGAGGGTGCGAATAAAAGTGATCAAAGTCAAGATCCCTTCTTACGCTCTTATTCTCACACAATCTTTCTTCGTATGAATAGAATTAGCCCTTTTCTTAACTCAGCTCCAATATAGATAATGTTCTTAACTACACAAGCTTTGTTTTGATGGCCACATAAGCTTGTGGGCCCCACTTTTTTTTTTTTTTTTTGGAAAAGAGGTCACCATAGTCAATGCACTTAAAAGGGTAGGATCACTTTTGACATGACTACTGCCCTTTACATTGCAACACATCTGCTTTAGACCCTATCTTATCCCCTATAGCAATCTCTAACAAGGGAGACACCTTTCCCTATAACTAACCCGGTAAGCGCTTACCGGTAAAGATCAACACCATCACTTATCTTACCAGGTAAGATTTTAGTCCATCAGATCGGCATTGTATGCAACAATTTACCCGATATTACGCTAACCAGGCAAGTGTCTAATCACTTGCCGGGTAAGGGTAAGTGCTTACCCAAGTAAGTGTGAATCAGCCAGAGGCCCAAGACAATGGTTGCCAGAGAAAAAAAAACGTGCACATAAAGGGTCATTGACCCGGATTGGTTCTAAGGCTTAACAAAGATGAGGAGTGTGCATGAGTATCTGTTCTATGTAAAAAAAAGATGCTCTTGTCAAGCCTGTTAGAAATCAACAGACAGACGTGTTAAGTAGCAAGTCACCGTAGAGCATGGAGCTTCTGTGAAAAAAAATTGGCCACCTTACTTTTGCTTGTGTCGTTATAAGTAAGAGCATCCACAATTAAGACTTTTTGAGAGCTTTTTGGCCACATCAGAATGTGAAAAAGCCAGATGGGTCCCTCCTTTTTTCCTGTTTCGTTTGGCCACCTAAGCTTGTCGGTCCAACTTTTTTGATGAGAAAGCTTACCATTGTGGATGCTAAATCTTGTTTTTGTGCTTGTGGGTCCCACTTTTGGGGAAAGAAGCTGAATGAAAAGGTCCACCATTGTGGATGCTATAAGAGAACTTATTCAACAAAAGGCAAAGGGTGATTTTGATGGTTGTCTAAAGCAATTTCAGTTCATAGAAATGCATACCTGCCATTATTGCCGGCCTTCCAGGCAACCTTCCAAACGCTAATGGACATGTAAAAAAGAACGTTATATACTTCGTCAAAATTGACATCAGAAGTCGGTTTTTGGTTCAAAAAGATGAACCAAAAGTGCAGTTAGACAAGCAGATAAGGCAAAAACAAGACTTGTAAAGATAGCAATCACAAGGAAAGACAATTATGCCCTTCGGGTACTGTCCTGGGCATCGGACTAGCTGTGACGTATCTTTGAGGAAATAGCTTGGGGACAGCAGAAGCTCCACCAGCGGATGCTGTCTCGGTTGCAAGCATTTGTGCCCGGCTATGGAACTTGGCGAAACGGTTGATGACTGAAAATCTCTCCAAATCTTGGGACTCCATTCTTATTTCCAGAATTGATCCTCCATTCTCCACCCTTCATCACCATTAAAATCAATTTTACAAGTATGCCCTTATGCTGTGTTCTCGAAACTTCTTTTTATGAAGGAAAGGAAAGGGGAGGAAAGTAATAAAACTCGTGTACTTGAAACATTTTTAGGGGAGAAAGGAAAGGGAAGGAAAATAACGGTAAGTCTCCTCCCAAAACTGTCCTCCCAAATGTGGGAGGAAAGGAAAAGAAAGAAATTAAAACCCTTTAAAAAAAATTATTAGAAGTACAAAGCTACCCAAATCTTTCATTCTAAAGGCTATATTGTTGATTAGTAAAAATGACATATTTCCTTTTCTTTCTCTCCTGTTCAAGAGCATGAAAAATTATTATTTCTTTTCCTTTCTTTCCCTTTCGAGAACTCAAATAAAAAAAAATCTTTCCCTTTCCTTCCTTTTCCTTTCTTTTCTTTTCTCCCCAAATTCGAGAACACGGCATTAGTAAGAACATGATCAACTCTATCGCCAAATTTGGCCATGTGGAGTTTTCTGTACATCTTACAGCCACTCTCCTGTTTAGGTAGAGGTCAGGTCTGTGTCCATCTCCACTCCCCCCCCCCCCCAAAAAAAAACCCACCTTCAGGTGTGATATATTGGGCTTGTTTGGTTTGGTTTACTATAGTCTATAGCCATGGTCTTTTTTGTGTGTTTCGGTATTATTGACTAGGCTCAATCCTTTTTTGCTTTATGTTTTGATCATATAAAGGATGATTTCTAACATAAAATGATTCACAAATGATGGATTGTGTTTGTACCTCAAAAGCTCATCTTCCAGCTTTTTTGATCGATCGATAAATTCTTCCACTATCTTCGAGAGATTTTGATCACCGCTGCCCTTAGATATTACATTTTTCCCTGATGACCTGGATTGCAATGTCGGAGAAAAAATCAAAATATGATGATGATGATGAAGTAAGATGCTAAAGCTCACAACTTTGCAAGACTTCTTTTTGAAGTGTGTATAATATTTATAATTTTATATACAATAAATAATAGCGCATACTCCTCCACTTTGGTGAGGTTAGAACCTTTAACCTCCAGCAAGAATAGGACTTACCGGTAAACCCGGATACCATCTGGCCAATGAGGCAAGGACTCTTTAGTAACTTTGCAAGATTTTGCATCCATAATAATGAAACAAAGAGAAAAATGAGTTTGCAAGTACAATTCTTACGAGTCAGATGTATCAGAAGGCATGTGAGGATGATTTGCCAAGCTACATGCATCACCAAGTGTTAATCTAGCAGCAAAGTATGTTGCAGTATCATAGCATGTAGTAGCATCATCCGAGAGAACTGCAGCCGGTGTAGGGCGAAATAACACTTGCATAAGCTGTGTTGTTAATATAATTCTTTTCTTTGGGTGTGAGTCAGCCTCTTCTTTCAACTGTTAACAAAAGTTAAAGTGTTCAGAACAACTATTGAAAGATCTGCAAGTCTTCTGAAAGTCATTTTTTCATAATGCTCAATGAAAAAGCATACCTTCTCAGGTATCCGATTTGCAGCCTGTGCCCATTCTAATTCAGCAATGCTGCAAGACAACAATTTTTTCAAAGTTAGGAGGCATCATGTAGCTTTTTTGCTGTATAAGCTGAACTGTAGCCAAAATGTCACTCTGATGTTTTTTTTTTTGAGAAAAGTCCAAAAAAAACCCAACAAACTTTCTTATTTTGAATGGTTTAGTCCTTTACACTATTTTTTGAATGAAAAAACCATTAAACTTTTTCATTTTGAATGATTAAGTCCCTGAACTATTTTTTTGAATGAAAAAACCATTAAACTTTCACAATTTGATTAAGTTAAGACCCTGAATTTTTTTCAAAAAAATAAATAAATAAACCATCGAACTTTTACTTGTCGGTTAATGCAACTTTTTTTGGGTTAAAAGGATGTAGGTAACCAATTTCTAAAAGTGCGATGGTTTATTTATTAAAAAAAATGTTCAGGGACTTGATCAATCAAAATGAAAAAGTTTAATGGTTTTTTCATTCAAAAAGAGAGAGTTTAATATTTTTTCATTCAAAAAAATAGTTAAGTGACTTGATCATTCAAAATTAGAAATTTTAATGGTTTTTTCATTCAATAAAATAGTTTTAAGGACTAAACCATTCAAAATGGAAATGTTTATTGGGGCTTTTTGAACTTTTCCCCTTTTCTTTTAATAATTTTGCCATTTATACACTATAGGTAAACAGGAAATGGAAATACTGTGATACTCCCTCTGTCCAAAACAAGTGTTCACATTTCTATTTTAGTTTGTACCAAAAGAAGCGTCTACCTTAAAAAGTAAGTGTCTAATTTCCAATTTTACCCTTAATGAGCTGGAGAAATTCATTACTCCCTCTATTGTTAAGGGTACAATTGGCATTTAGTTAATTTAAAAAGTGTACCAATTATGCATTATTAAAACTGTGCGTCTTTTTCATCATGGACATTTATTTTGGGACGGGGGAGTATGTAATAGACATGCAGGATGCACAAAATGGTTGTGTTCTAGCACCCACCTCATATCTTGAGGCCTTGAAGAACCTTTTGTCGCTTCTTTATGCCATGGTAGAAGCTCGTATGTAGGACATTTACGCTTCTTTGATTTGGAAGCAAGCAAATCTTGATTGGGCCCATCTAAATGCTGCAAATAAGGCAAAGATAATTGGTTACCAGCATATGGGTTGGTCCCAGTTACTGGCCATATACTCCCATGTTGACTTGTGCTGGCTAAATTCATTTGCACAAACGAACTATTCCTATGCAGCTGAGAAGCATCCTGAAGAGGAGGGTTAGGTGAGGTTTTGACCAACTGATTGTCTCTTGCAGCTGGTGTCACGAGCAGGTTTCTATAATTCTCATACGCAGAAGTGAGCTGGGACATGGATGTTATTTGAGGGACTTTAGTGTCAGAATCTACCCTTTCGTTCTTTACTGCTGTCCTTACACTAGGATCCAAGTATGTGGGATTCAGAGGTGAATAACCATGAGGAGAAAGATGTGCTTGCTTCAAAGAATGCCCAAATGCCTCATGATGTCGTGCAGAAATTGCTGGGGGCTCGCTGCCAGATCCATGTACTACTACTGAACTAGAAGAAGGTTTTGCTTCTGCACATCCTGAAAACGACTCTTCCTCAACATAGATTCTTTGGGAACTCGACACGTGTCCGCTAGCCTCCAATAAATCATTGCCTCCTTTGACATTTATCTGGCTATCTGACTCCTTTGGAGCTTCAAAAGCAGTTTCCATCCTGTCATTTGCCACATCTGAGGTTGATGGAGATCCACTTGGAGCCTTATAAAATCCCATGCTAGAAAGATTTTGCTGTGAAGGTATATCTACCCAGACATTAGGTTGCCTTGTTGAATTGGAGACATGTTGACTCATCCCCAATGTTGTCAGAGGCTGTTGTGTCTCAAATTTCGATGATCTTTGACCATCTTGGTTCTTCAATGGAACTAGATGGGAGGTGTCCTGCAAAGCGTCAGGATTAAGAGAAGGTCGTATACTTCCAGAACTTTAATTACAAAACAGACATCAGATGCAGAGCATCAAGGTCTGTGCGTTTGGCATGCAGACAAGACCGGACGGGACGGGACAGGACTGGATGGGCAAAAGTTAGATAGAAAAGAATTGTGAAAGGTTTTAGGGTAATAATTTGGCATGGGTTGTTCAGTAATTTACCAAGCTTGTCTCGTCTCCATGATTTTTGTTCCACATATTTTGGTGGGACCAAAAAAATTGCACTTTTGTCCCACTCAATCCAGTCCCGGTCTAAACGTTGCACCAAACGTGGAACAAGTTTTTGTTTAGGCATGTCCCATCCTGTTCCGCGTACCAAAAGCATAATGGAATGACAAATGCCTAATAGTAGCAACATCTCTATTGATCACACAAAAGAACAAACTGATAAAAGAGTTATATGGATAATGAAAGTTAAAATTTTGACCTTTCTGAGATACTGATGTTTGAACTAGTACTACATACCGCTTGTTGGGACATCTGAGATAAGTCAAAATAATTCCCAGGCAACCTTTGTGTTGGAGGGGCCAACCTCAATCCAAAGTATTGTGGGGCAGAAGAATTGTTGGACGGAGTAATTGCATCTACAGTTTCAGCTTTAGGCATCTCGCTTGTTGGAGGTGATTCGGTATGAGCAGACTGCATACCATGTCTATATTCTCTAAATTTGTCTACCTTGTGAAGAAGCTCAAGCATATGGCGACTGCCACGATAAACCAAAGAATGTTTTAGAAGATCGCACATTACACAGGGACATTTTAGGAGTAGGATAACCTTCTAAGAGCTCTGTTGATAAATTATAATCCCTCCATCGCAAGAAAATTGCAACCCTTTACTTTAAAATGTCCAAGAAAATTGCAACATTTCCTTTTTCATAAAGATTCGAAGATAAAGTTACATACCTACTATGATCATCATAAATAAATTGATGGGTACTGATATGGGTCATCATTATTCTTTATTTTGTCTTTATTGAAGTGTCTTTGAAGATTTGACAAACAGTCCAACATCAAGTCAAACGTTGCAATTCTCATGATATGGAGGGAGCATACATTTGCATAACAAAGAAGTAAACACCTTGTTTGAGCACTTGAATCTGGAACAGGAAAGCCGCCTGGTCTGTCCATAATAGCAGACATGCCAGAACAATCACTGCTTCTAAAAGTTGTCACCTCTGATGCGTTAGATTGTCTCTGATTATCGGGCAAGAACCCCTATGAGAAGAGGAATAAGAATGGTTTGTTGAGTTTTTTGACATTGTAAGATAAATGATGCTCCCAAAAACAAGTGTGCATATTTCTATTTTAGTTTGTCCCAAAATAAGTGTCCACCATCAAAAGTTAGTGTCTACTTTCCAATTTTACTCTTAATTATGATATGGAGAAATTCATCACTCCCTCATTGTTAAGGGTAATATTGTCATATAGTTAATTAAAAAGTGTAATAATTACACATTTCAAAAATTGTGTGCCATTTTCATTGTGGACATTTATTTTGGGATGGAGGAGTAGCATATACTTGGAAAATAATACATTTGCTGCTTACCTTCTTAAACTCCATGCCATTATTTGAAGCATCATTACCAAACTCAAACTCTCCAGCATGCCCACTTGGTCCTTGATGGACCTGTAAAGGTGAGATCCTTTGAACTTGTGCACTACCCTCAATGGGTTCTCTCTGTTGAGCACTGGAATATAACTCACCTGCTTCTTTGTGGGAATGCTGATTTGACTCATGAGAAGAATCTGAACGCAATTGGAAATGATTAGCAGGGTACTGTTGTAAACCAGGGAAGCTTGAGCTTGCATTAGATATTTTTAGATGCTCTGGCCTTGAATTTAAAGACGATGCATTCTGAAATATGTTATTTTGCCATGGAGTTGGATGTTTCCCACTTTCCATGAAATTAGAAGGCTGGTTATCATTGGACAGTTCTGGGTTCTGAAAGCTTAAACCACTCCACTCTTCCTGCAGCCCGGTATCAGTACTGGAGGTTTCTTCAAGGGCAGACTGCATGAGAGCACTCCAACTCCCACTTTGAAGCGAAGGCAAAGCTTGCACATTATCAGGGCCTTCAAACATGTTCCCGAAGCCTCCCAAATCATTATCATCTGAGTTGAATAAGAACTTTTGTTCCATCGGATCCAAAGTAGTAAAATCCTGAGAAGGGTTGATGTTTGCTGTTTTCTCGGAAATATTGCCAGGCCAATCACCTTGTTCTTGACCCCTCCCAAATTCTTGCTGATCATTTCCTGTTTGCCCTCCCATATCTAGACCTTGACTAAAAACTGGTCCAAACATGTTTCTCTCCTGATAGGGAACATTGAATTGATCACTCATGGAAGATCTACTAATGGTGTCTACTTGCTCACCACTGGATTCACTAGTCCCCCCCTGAAAATGAGAAAAGCGACTAAAACTATGTCCAGTGCTAGATATAGGAGTTCCATCAACCGGCTGAGATGCAAGACTCATTGAATGCAGGATTTGGTTTTGAGCCTGTGAATAAGGCAATCCATTTTGAAACCCCTGGCCCAAGTTCGTGGAACCAAACATAAACATTTGGGATGCATCACGAACCGGTGTTCCATTAATTAAGGGCGCATACTGAGCCCTGGAAGCTTGCTTATTGTGTATCAAAGATTGTTGATTTATAACATTTTGTTGCCCGGAGTCATTTAACTCCTGGAGTTTCTTTTGCCTCTGGAGTTCTTCTAGCTGCTTAAACATAATTTGCCGCTGCAACATCTGAATCTCATTAAAATTGAATCTGCTACTTAGACTGGTATTTATCACCACTGCTCGTGATGAATTAATTTTAACTCTTTCTAAACTATTTTCAGCCAGGTATCTACCAAAATTCGTCTACCATCGAAATGTTCTATGAAACTCCCAAGCACACGGTCCTGAAGAGTCAGAAGTCAGTGTTGATGTCTATGTTGGATCAAGAACTTGTGGATAACTTCTGTAACTTAGTTTCAATGAAACCTACAAATTGCAAGTCCTTCGATAAGAATTACAGGAGACCTAGTATAATGAGAAATATCAGGCACAACAGTAAAATCTAGCAGCATTAGTGAAGAATAAATTGTGCTTCAGCACACTTGAAAGACAAAGTATTAAACTATTACCAAATGATGTAATAATACAGGAAGAAATGATCACTACCGCTCTATTAATAATTTCTAAAATAAAAACAGTTCAAGTTGACAGCCTACCTATTTAGCATCTGCCAGTGATTTCATATATAAAACTAGCAAGTTAACATCAGTGGATATAAAAAAGTGCCCTTTATAGCGCTTGCATACCTTTGCTTGTTGTAAACACATTATATGAATCGTCAGAACTTTTTAAATTAACTTAACCCTTATGACCACTTTCCTCAAAAGAAAGAAAAACTCCTCCTCAACACAGAAACAGAACAACAAACTGCAACTTTAGGACTCAGCTTGTAGGGCGAGAGTGAGGTAGGCGGGTGAAAGAATTTGCAAGCTTCTAATTTGACATGGGTAATTTAGTAATTTACCAGTCCAAGTCTCTTCTTCCTGGTTTTTGTTTCACAGATTTTGGTGGGACAGAAAAATGCATTCGTGTTGTGCCCATACTTGTGCTGTCCAATCTAATGTCGCACCAAACATGGTACAAGAAGTTTTTGTTTTGTCCTATCCCACATATCGAGAGCACCCTAATTGAAAAGGAGTTATAGACTTTTTTGCACCATGGTTCTTACAAAAACGTGAAAAAGAAACACCACACTTCGAGTAAACGAATGATTCTGGAGGAAAAAAGCTTCCATCAGTAAAATGGTGTTTTTTTCATTTACATTTTTGTCCAAAGTGTTCCTTTTTGCAAGAAATATGTTGTAAAGGCAAAAAGTCAACCAGTCAATTTGAAACCACAACCAAGTTCATTCTGATTTTTGAATTAAATTTATGTCTACATGTTAGGTGAAGAACCAGACTGCCTCAAATCGTTACATTCGGTGACCACAATCAGCCTGTGTACTTCTAATTAAGAAGAGAAACACAGAGAAATCACAGATATATCATGAGATCAAATCATAAAAAAATCAAACACTTAAACCCTAATATAAACAAAATCCTATGCAGCCATAAGCCATACACAACTAGAAATACACATTGCAAATGAACTCCAAATCCTTCAACAACTCACAGAAAAAGAAAAAAGGAAGAAAAAAAAAACTAGACCAAATTCTGAACCAAAACCCTAAAAACACCCGCTGCATGAAATCCAGCGTCAGATTTCCCAAATAATGCAAAAACAATAATTGTGAATTCCAATATTTTTCCACGAATCAAAAGCTATACTGATATCACAACACAAACAAGTTCAAAAATCAGCTCGATAACAACTAAATTCAAGAGTTTGAAACTATGATCCAAGTGAAAAATCAAATTTGGGGAACGGGGGGTAGTTGAGAAGTGTGTAGAAACTCTTACTTCCAAACGCTTCCTTCTTGTTAATGGAGATCAAAGCTTCCACTTACTCTTCACTCCAAACAGTCGTAGCTTAATGCACCTTCTTCCCCTCTACTCTCTCTCTCTCTATACATACATATATATGTATGTATACCCCTCTCTCTACACACACTTTTTCTTACTAACTACTCAACACTCTTTCTCTCTCTAAAACCGATGAGCGAGAAAGATGGTCTCTTTTTTCTTTCGTTCTTTCAGACATATAATATTTTATCGGTCTAGGTCCGGAAAACCAGACCTAGAGGTGCGTTACCGAACCTGAGGTCTGGTTTTAGGTTCAGGAAAACGAAGCTGAGGTTACGGGATGAGAAATGTGTCGGTGTGCTTTCGTTTAAATTGTGTACGATCTTCCCGCAATCAAATCCGTTGAATTATGGAACTGGATGAATCGGAAGGTTGATATTGAGGAGAGTTGTGGACCTTAGTCGTACAGGATTGGGTCTTGGATGAAGACAAGTCGTGTGGGTAGTGATTAGCTGTAACGCGATCTTTGGTGCGCGTGTGAGAGTGGGGGAATCTTTTCCTTTTTCTTTCAAGACTTTTTAAAAAGAAAAACATATTCCAAATATTAAATTTAAAATATATAATATTTATTTGTAATTATAATTATCGGCCGGATTTAAACTAGGTATGGCAACGGGCAGGGGATGCGGCCCGTTTTGTAATCCTGGTCTCGGCCCTGGTTTGAAGTAACATCACCCGGCCCTGACCTCCGTCTTCGGCAGGTATGGGGATTAACATCCCGTCCCCAATCAAATATATGTCAATCACCGGTCAAATCTCATAAATAATATCCTTTAATATGATTCTATCAAAGATCCCCGGCCCTCGGACCAGTTTTAGCGAAGAATCTTCGTCCCCGTTCGGGTCGGGTGAACAGGGTTCCCAGCGGGTCTGGGCAAATCACCATCGCTAATTTAAACTACTCAAGTTTTCAAATATGAATTTATGGTTTATTTGGCAGTTGTTGAACGATTTGGTGTAAAATGATTAAGTGATCAGAATGATTAAAAGACTATTATGATATAGTGCAAAATAAAATATAATTGTTTGGTAAGTATTTACAGTGAAATTAGGGCTTTTAATAATTAAGATAGACCTATTATACAAAATCATTTAGAGTGTTTTAGAATCATTAAAAGACAAATCTTTTTTTGTCAAACAAGATTTCCCTCTTAACGATTGAGAAACTGTTTCTTAATAAAACTATTAAGAGGTAAACAAACAACTCCTATTACAAAAATCTCTAATAAAAATTTCTTAAATTTATATTTTTTTGAAGAATTAAAATTCTCAAAATAAAAAAAAAATTATATTTTACTTTAGCAAATATATTCTTATAACCGTAATTATATTATTAAAATATCAGTTTTTTTCTATATATTTAATTCCTAAAACCGATAAGAATATAAAATATTATTTCTCATTCCTAATGACATCTTCAACACTCCAGCTAAAATAGAAATTTTGGTGGGTTTAAAAATATTTTTTTACTACAACAGTTATGTTATAATGTATGATAAAATAGAGAAAATAATAAATAGACTGTAAAAATATTCAAATTTGGAAAATCTCTAAAATACAATATTTAAGAAACAGATAATATTTTAATCTTTCCACCAATAAGAGACATTGAAATCAAATACTTAAGAGATAAATATAATATTTTATTAAATATATTGAATATTTTGATAATATAATTAATGAAATAATCTTGGAAAAGCTCATGGGGTGTTTGAGATTGCTTATAAAAACAACTTATTGACTTATTTCGGTGTGACACCGGTAATAAGTACTTTTGAGTGTTTAGATAAACAACTTATACCGATGTCAAACCAGTAATAAGAAGTTTTTAATGAAGTTAAACCCTTCTGACTTATAATAAGTTGATAGGTTGTTTCAAATAAGTAATCTCAAACATCCCCTCACAGTCATTTTTAGGAACCTCCATTACATTTATGTGGGTTTGAGCAAACAATAATGTTTTTAAAAAAATATATAATTTAGAAGATATCATAAAAAGTATAAAAGTTCTCATTTTTTGTATAATTTATTTAATTCATTTTTTTATTATAATTTAGTTTAAGTATCATGACAAAGTAATTTGTTTTTGGTTTAATAATATAATTTTTTTTAAATTAATAATTAAGTATTCTAATTATATTTTAGATATATTTAAAATGAGAATTTTATCTTGTATTTGATTATATTTATCTACAGTTAGTTATACAAATTTAAATATGGAGTTTAATAAATTATACTTATGTACAATTTACTTGTAATTTTGAATTTTAAGTTATATGCATTAATAAATAGTACTTCATATATAAAAGATGGTTTTTAAGAATTTATTCCAATATTAATTATATTAAAATATTTAGTGCCTTCAATATTTAACAAACTTTTAAATTGACTTTTTATTATAAGAATTTCAACTAACTTTTAAAAGTAACTTTTTTTTATTGGTAACCTCCAACAATTTTTACTGATAAAATGATACTTTGCAACAAACTTTTTATAAAATGGTAATTTCAAACTGATAGTAAGGTGTCGTTTATCAAACGCTTACTCAGTTTGCATACTTATCAAGTCACATTATCTTACCGGATCTTACCCGGTAAAAGCGAGACAAGGACCAAGAGTCTTACGCGGTAAGTCTTACAACGATTAGCGCTCATCGGGCAAATTGTTGCATACAATGTCGTTTTGGTAGACTAAAATCTTACCTGATAACTAAGTGATAATGTTGAATTGGGAAAATCTAAAAACAATTAACGTATATTCTTTTATCTGCAAAACTAGATTTTGAAATATCTGTTAAAAATGTGTATTTTGAAAATTATGTTAAAAATGTTAAATCAACGTAATCACATTCATTTAAATTATTATTTAAGATGTGCATTTTATACCAATTGGTTATCTACACATAAGGATGGTGATTTGCCCTGACCCAGTGAGGATCCCGCTCACGCGACCCAAACGGGGGATTCCCCTAAAACGATAACTAGAGATCCCTGGTAGACTCAAACCGGGGCCGAGAGTTGTTACTCAAACCGAGGTTGGGGCTGGGGATCGCCGGTAAACTCAAATTAATGGATATTCTTCATGGGGTTTGACAGGGGGTTTAACTGAGGACGAGATGTCAATCCCCGTACCTACCGAATATCGGGAGCTGTTACTAAAAACCGGAGTCGGGATTACAAAACCCGACCCGTCCTCAGCCCGTTGCCATGTCTACCGACAAGATAACGTGAAACATAATTTTTTTCATTGACCAGGAACAAAAAATAATTACAACTGCTTTGAATTTTTTTTTTCAAATTATATTTAAATATTATCAAATCTTTTTTTTTTCTTGGTAATTATTTTTGGAATATTTTATTAACATTAAATTGAATATTAAATTATGTATATTTATTTAATTATTTTAAAGATATAAAAGTGTTTAGTGCTTCCTTCCCATGAACTTGGACCCAATTGTGTGGATAAAATGACCAAATTGGTATTTTATTTTTAAAATATTTTATAATTTAAAAATCGATTTTATAAACTATAAAAATAATAATTATATCATATTTAATTATGACAATCGTCTGTTTCTATTTCTCACGTTTTATATATATTTGGTGCAAAAAAAAATGTGACAGTGTAATAAATATGTTTATTTTGTTTTTACCAGCAAAATAATTATAAATACATATGTAATTCATATAAATCAATTTCAACCGTACATTTATTCTAATAAATATTTAGTTTCATAAATATCTCAATTGTTTTCTAATCTAAATGTTGAATATAATTAGGGCAATTGTATGAAAAAATAACGTACTTTAACTTGATTCTTATTTTAGGCAACGTACTTATAAAACTTCCATTTTGGTATCTAAGATATAAAATTTTAAGTATCCGGGTAAGCAGTTGAAGCATTAACCGGTTATCATGTTGATGTGACGAGTGATGTGGTATCTAACTCAATATTATTTGCTGGCGTGGTTAGTGACATGGAATCTAAAATTAGTTTTCAACCGGTTACCTGTGTACTTAAATGTTTAAAACTTTACATCTTAGATACCAAAATAGAAGTTTTGAATTTACGTTACCCAAAATTGGAATCAAGTTAAATTACGTTACTTTTTCATGCAATTTACCCATATAATTAATGTATTCTAACCATTTTTTATAATACATTATCATAATAAAGGAACCATCATCATTTCCAAAAATATTTCAATTGATTTGTATGAATGACATTATCTGTATTTGAAACATTCTCTAAGATAATATGATACAACTGATATAATTAATAAATTATGCATAATATATATATATATATATATATATAAAAAGGGTTTTCCGTTTGATTTCTATTTTGAAAAATATGTATTTAAAAGAAACTTTTAACGATTTGGAATTTAAAGTTGTTCATTTTTAGGATTCGCCGGTAGCCATCACGACAACACGAAAAAGGGAGGGACGCCTTTTCTTTTCCTTTTTTTAAGAATAAAATTTCAGTTGACACCGTACAAAAAGACGATTTTTGAGTCCAAGTAACTATCGTTTGAATCGGTGTCACTTTTAGTACATAGTTTACTGGTTGCTATCGATCTCTTTCCCTTGAGCTTGACGTTGATTCTTTAAAGTTATCTTCTTCAAGTTGGAGAAACGACTCTCACTCAACAAATGAAAGGGAACGTCGTGTGATTATGGGATTACTCACTGTTTACGAGTCATTTACCAAACGCTTACTTGGACAAGTGCTTTTTGCCGACAAAATTCAACATTATGACTTATTTACTGGTAAGATTTTAGTCCACTAAAAGGATGTCATGTGTCACAATTTACTCGGTAAATGCTGACCATGGTAAGAATTGTCGCCCTGACTTACTAAGTAAGACTCTCGGTCATCGCCTTCACTTTTACCAGCTAAGATTCTTGGTCTTTGTCACTTAATCCGGTAAGGTAATATGATTTGGTAAGTGCTTACACGTGTAAGTGTTTGGTAAACAACCCCCTTAATCTTCTCGTGTTTCATGTTTCTGGCCTAAAGTAATGAGAAAATGGCTTCTAACTAGGGTTGCACATGGGCTGGGTTGGCCGAAGAAAGGCATTTGAAATTTTGAACAATCCAATCCAATGTTTGCGGTTTGAAAAATCTCAACTCAACCCAATCCAAGCAAGATTACAATCCAACCCAACCTAAATTGTGTCGTGTTGGGTTGCGTTGATCGCCTGAGACTTTGTTACATCATTTTACAATCTAGCTAAGCGTTTTTGTTTAAATGAAAAGCAAATGAGAACATACAAAAAAGGTAACAAACTCAAAAAAAATCGAACGTTCATGTAAATAAGAAAGTTGCAGGTTGGTTTAAAGTTACATATATTAATCATTGACTTAATAATCATATTAAATCCATAGTATAAAAAGACACCTGGTTCATTGGGTTGGGTTAGGTTCAAATTACCCTAACCCAATTCTAACCAAAATAGATGCAGTTTGATCAAATTTGTATCGATTATACATCGAGTTACCTCCGATTGAGTTCTTTTTGGGTTTTTCGGGTTGGGTTGGCCAGATTGGTTGGTTTTTTAAGCACCCCTACGTCTCCATTTTACTCGGTTGAGAAGTAGATATACCCTCGAGAGGTGGTTGGGCGTCTCTCGAAATAAGCCTTAGAAGCTTATTGGAACGCTTTACAAGCTACTTTTTTGTTCAACCAAACAACGCTTTTGAAATAATCTAAAAAATAAGTTAGGGGCCGTTTACCAAACGCTTATCCGGGTAAATGCTTACCAAGTCACGTTAACTTACCGGATGAATATGGTAAGGACCAAGAGTCTTACCCGGCAAGTGAGAGCGACGATTCTTACCACGGAAAGCACTTACCGGGTAAATTGTTGCATACGATATCGTTTTGGTGGAATAAAATCTTACCCGGTAAGTAAATAATAGAGGCTAATTTTACCAGTAAGCACTTACCGGGTAAGTGTTTGGTAAACGGCCTCTAAGTTTATGTTTATCAAACATAACCTAACAATTAGCTTATCAACCACCATCTAACTTATAAGTTACTTAACCAAACATATCCTCATACGATCAACTAGTTTGTCAAGCGTAAGTGCATAAGCACAACTAGCTTTCGACACTCGAACCACGTAATCAAAAACAGTACCCTTGCCACAACGATTCCGATCGCAAATAAGCTCTAGTCATATTACAAAAAGACCATATTACCCCCAAAAATACTTCCATCACAATAGAAAACATCAAAATTTTCTCATAAAGTGTTGAAAGATACAATGTTTTGATTTTATGCATTCTATGATAAGAAAATGGTACAAAAATTGCATCACAACTTCCTTACTAACCCGCATGAAACCAGCGTAGAATCCGTTCAATCACTTTGATTAAAGGATAGAAACTGTCAAACCCGCTTTCAAAAACCTGCATTTGCCTTCGTCACTGTATGGAGTATTATGTCGTATTAATACAGATGTTAAATTTGTTATTCAGATACCTAAAATACATTTAACATAATGACTAAAAAAGAGAAAAGAACTTGTTCGTTCATCGTTACAAAAAAAAAGCGATATCAATTTGGACCCAGCGTATGCACATACGTTACTGGTTAATGGATATTCAAGACCATTAACGAAAAGTCAAAACACCTGTTTAGATGTTGTAACTTTCATGGGAGCTTTGCTTTCAAACATTTTTCACTGAACAAAATCGGTTTTATAGGTGACAATACGTTTAAATGTCCTAATATACTGCTTTATAGAACCTGCGTTTATCAGACCAAACAATTGTGTGTACTATGTATAAGTTTTACCATTGGTTTATAAAATGTTTTTGAACGTCCTAACAAGTTTTTTAGAACACTTTTGTGTGTCATATTAGCTCTTTTATAAGACATTTTTCCAAATAATGTCATAAAAAGACTAATAAAACGCTTTATTTCAAAAGTGTCCAAAAAGCCTTGTTTGACGCCCAAAAATGTCCCGTCAACTTATTGTAACACGTTTACATATGACACAGAGTTGTTTATCCTATAAAGCAATCAATTAGAACAATTAGAACAATCAGACATATTTGACGTCCTTATAAGACCAATTTTGTTGCAGTGCGTCTACAACTATATGTCGAGTCAAAATTTTGCAATTTTTCTGGTAGCAATAGACTTCAATAAAGCTAGACAATTTTCTAAGTTTACCCGAAAAAAGGAAACATCTATAATCAATACGAGACATGCCAAAATGAAAGTAGATCGATAATTTAAAAAAAAACCAAAAGAATTCATCAATTTAGCCGAGATCACACACCTTCGTAATTATGGGATAGAAATTTCGGAAGAAACCCGTAGCTTTGAGTCTGCTCCTCCGCTTACCACACTATCTCCTTTCCACCAATCAGCACATAGTACCTGCGGATTTTGAAAAAAATACCAAAATGTTATGCGATTTAATGGATGTAATTGCTGAAAAATAAATAAAAATTGTGCAAGATTTAAGAACGAATACCTTGTCCTCATGTGAGTCAATTATAGCCAATGGCCACTGCAACAAGAAGTAAAGGTCATCAGATCAAAAGCGTGCATATTATTTCGTTTAAATCAAGTGAACGGCTTTTCAAACCAGTGTATTTGGCTTTTTATCCAAGGCAAACCGTTTTACTTGCAAAAAGTGCAAGAATAAACACCAACTTTCTAAGAACTGATTTTCAAGAACTGTTAGGCTGTCTTTGGTACATGGGATAGAACAGGACCGGACAAAACTCAATATTCCACATTTGGCGCGACATGGGACATGATAAGAGCTCACTGTCCCACATTTGGTGCGACATGAGACAGGGATGAGGTGGGACAGCGTGGGACGGAAAAGGTTTTTTCTTAGATGGGACAAGAATGAGACAAACTAAAATATTACTAACCAACCCTGGTTTTAGTAATCACCACTAATAGTTGTGGCCGCCGCCGCCATCGGTAGCCACCGTCGGCAACCTCCCCCTCATCCACCACCTCCACAACCACCACCGTCCATTGCCACTACCACCGTTGGCCACCTTCACCTCTCTTCTACTACAACCACCTCCTCCACCACCTCCATAACCATCGTCGGCCACTGACCACCACTGTCCATCACCACCACCACGACCACCGTTGGCCACCGACCAACACCGTTCACCGCCACCACCATGGGCCACCTCACATCCACCATAAACACTATCGGCTACCAGTATTTACCATATTCATGTCCTTTCACAACCACAACCGTCCATCTCCACCTCCGCTAGTATCGTCGGCCACCACCACCATAACCACCTACCTCCCCCACAACTCTCGACCGCCACCACCACCACCACTATCATCATCTTCACGTCCTCCACAACCACTATCGTCCACCAACTACCAATGTTTCTACCTCTACAACCATTGTTGTTGCAACAATCTTTACCGTGCCTTCACCAATTGATATGAATCTTCCAAACCAAATAAAACATAATTTCCTTCATATGAATTGGGTTTTTTCAAAATACCATCACTTATATAAAAATTCCATTCAAATTTGGTACTATTTTATATTTATGAACATGAAAATTGTGTAAAAATGTTTATAAATTAAATTATTTACTTTATTTGTGTTAATTATAACTATTATATGATTTATAAAATCATAAAATAACTTTTGAAGGCAACTTATCTAACTCTGTCCTACCCCGTCCTAGTTGTACCAAACACCATACACACACTTGTTTTGTCCAGTCCTACCCTCTTGTCCTGTCCAGTCTTGTCTAATTATCTTTGTGTACCAAACGCTACCTTAGAAAACGGGCTTGGACAACCATTGTTGAAAAAAACCCTTTAGAAGCCCACTTGGAAGACGGGGCCAGGCAACGATTTTTTTCCCAGACAGGCCCATTAAGATCATTATAATTAATTAATTTTATATATAACAATACTTTACTACTACTTTATTAAAAAACTTTATGGGCTGGACTCCCCCTACTGAGTACCAAGTTACTATATTTTTTTTTTCCTTTTCACAAGAATGAAAGTGGTCAATTGCAACAAAAAGACAAGTACAATGGTTCAAATGTCGATCTTGCTTTAAATTAATGGTAGATAAGAAACACGAAGAAGTAGAAAGTAAATACCGCAGTTCTCAAGTCCCATAGCATCACTTTCCCATCATAAGATGCAGAAAGCAAATGAAACCAAGACCGGCTGTGCCACTTGCATGCCGTTATCCAGGATGTGTGCGATGAGAATTGGAAGCTAGGAGCCAGAGTTCCTGAAATATTTGTTAGAACAAATGGAGGGTTAAAATCAACATATTTATGAGTAAAAATGGAATTCTTTTTATATAAATTCAACATTATAATATTCTAAGGGGTAAAATAGACAATTACACACACATTTGTAAGTTCACAAAAACAAATAGTTTTATTGATTCTACTTTCAGACTTCAACATCACTGCTTACCTGGTTTACGAGGATCCCAGATCCTAAGGATGGGATCAGAGCCGCCACCAGCAATGAGAGCAGAACTTTCACCTCCAACATCAATGCAGTTAATCACTTTCCCACAAAACTATATGTGTAGTAAGGATGTCTTTAGTCAGAACTCATGAAAATATTCAGATAAAATTCGTTCAACCTTTTTCAACATTTTTGCAATGGATTTATATGGTGCAAGAACAAAAAGATGTGAATATAGATCCCATTTAGTTGATGCAAGAAAAACCATAATAGAGCCCACAATATGCAAAATGGAGAAAAATACTTTAAACAAATAGCTTACCAAAAAAAATTCTTTTTTAATCCATCAACAAACTGATCTCTCTAAATGAGTTGAACTCACATGTTAAAGAATGTAGATATTCAGTAATGAGGGTTTCTCCAAAATGATTGCCCTTTAGTGTTTCTTTCTTGTATAAATGTATATGTGGTACTTGGAGAGTGGGAGTGGGTGGAAAGGATAGTGTTAGCTTAAAGGCACGAAAACCAAGCCAAACCAAACGAACCCAATATATCCCACCTGGCGGTGTCGTAGTGAAGTATAGGGAGGGTAAGATGTACTCAGACCTAACCCATACCCAAAGAGTAGAGTAGTAGTGGTTGTTTCAGTGAAGACTAAATTTTGTAAATAAATATATTGCTAAGATAAGATGAAACCAGTTTAACATACCATGTTTAATGTATCTTTTCCTGTCTCAACGTCCCATCTTCTAAACGAGTGATCCCATGATGCAGAATAAATGGTTCCATGTTCAGGCCAAACAACCGAAGATACACATTGTGTATGGCCAACAAGTGTAGATACAGCCTCTCCCTGCATGCATGAAAATTTTTAAACGAGAAAGAATAAACCAGTAAGCAAGAAAATGTAACTAAAAGCATTTGTATGTATCTATTTATTCTATTCTAGGTTTATCTATAAAGTTACCCATCACCAATTTTCAAGCTACATATAGAAGCTTAGGGGACGTTTACTAAGAAAATTGGGTAAGTGCTGATTGAGTAAGATGCTCTGACCGGGAAAGCAAGCCTATACACTAAGGTAAGCAACATTTGTTGGTCAGAAAACGTTAGTAAAAAACATTCTCTCTTACCCACTCTTACCCAGTAAGAGGCTATAAGCACCAAGTAAACAACCCCTTAATCTTAGATCAGTGGTCCAACCAATAATTTAGAAAATTGAGATAATAATAGTAGTAATTAATTTAATTGTAAATTATGATAATTAGCTAACCAAATTTTGTCAGCCAAGAACCTCCCTAAACCGCCAAACACTAGATAGACAGACGGTTGTGTTCTTGAACAAACAAATATTCTTATTTTTATGCTAAAAACCTAGAATGATGATGGAAAACAGTGAATTTGATCAAGAGTCTTCATCTTGGCCAGAAACCTTTTGCAACCATCAAAGAACAAGGAAAACAAATAACTCCTTTGGTTCTTTAACAGAAATTTGTGCTAGATCCTGGTGACCGTATGATCACAGCTAGAGAATAACAAATTTCTCAATATGTATTCATTGGGATTTTGACTTATGGTTGGAAACATATAACGAAATGGAGCTAGAAACATTACAGACAACAGGACTTGATCTGCATACAGAGTTGATCAGGTTTTGGTTTACTCCCTCCCTCCCAAAAAAGCATCTACATTTCAATTTTATATGAAAGCCTTTCATTTGCTTCTCTTTGATGGAAGTTTGATTTTATTCGATCGATCCCAGAATTAGCTCTATCCCACCTCCAATCAGGGGCCCAAACGAAACAGCACTGAAGGGTCTTCAATTAAAGCTTCGCCAGTACTGATGTCTTTACCTTCAAAAGGCTGAGGCCCCGGACCAACGAAAAGGCAGTGTCCACTTTCGAAAGTAAGTAGCTACTTTCCAATTCTATCCTTAATTATGAGATGGAGAAGATCATCACTCACTCTATTATTAAGGGTAAATTTGTCATTTTAGATGATTTAAAAGTGTGATGATTAAACATTTCTAAAATTGTATGCCTTTTTCATTATGGACATTTATTTTGGAATGGAGGGAGTACTAAAATTTACGTTTCAACCATTGCTCTTCTCAAAGATACAAACAAAGCAGATTTTAACATTTTCAGAAGCAATGCTCCTGAACTTGGGAAAATGAAATGATTGATTAACTGAAAAATGAGATTTTATAGATGTATAAATAAAAACAAAAATTTAGCATGAGTTCAGAATGATAAATAAACATAAGTCCTTGCGACAAGTTAGAGCATCTCCAACAGATTCTCCAAAAAAATTCCAAACTTAAGAATCAAAGTTCAAAATCTATAAAAAAATTGCATTCAACTCCAACAGTTTCTCCATTTTGGAGATTACATCAACTATATTATTATAATATGCCATATATTTAACAATATATTAATTCTCTCTCCTAAACATTTAATTTCAAAGTTTCTTATTGGTGAGAGTATAATAAAAAATATTTCTCCCTCACAGTAATAATCATATTTTGGGAGTTCTCCAAATATTGGGAATTTCACTCTTGCTCTCTCATTTTGGAGAAAGGCTTTGGAGAATTTGTTGTAGCAAAAAACTTGCCCAAAATCTCCATTCTCTCCAATTTGGAGAATCTGTTAGAGCATCTCCAACAAATTCTCCAAAATGGAGAATCAAAACTCAAAATCTCCAGGAAAAGATTAGGTTCATCTCCAACTGTTTCTCTATTTTGGAGATTACAATGTTATTTATATCATTAAAATATTGAATACAATTCATAAATATTATTTCTCTCTACTAAACATTTAACTTCAAGAATTCTCATTGGTAGGAAGAATACAAAATTATTTCTCTTTCCTAAATAATCATTTTTGGAGAAATCTCCAAATTTGGAGATTTTCATCATCTCTCTCCTACTTTCTCCATTTCGCATAAGGTTTTGATGAATCTGTGGGAGCAAAAACCCCAAAATCTCCATTTTAGAGAATGTGTTGGAGATGCTCTTAGAATCAACATATAAATTAAAGTCGTGAAAAGCACATGAAACAAGTGATCACCAAATATGGTCGATGAAATACCTCTGATTGAGCTTCTTCTTCCTTGTTGCCTTTTTTCCTTTTCTTCGTTGACACAATATCTCCTCCATCATTAGACTCTGTCTGCCACAAGTTGATTCTACAATCCCAAGAACCAGAACATACCTGTAAAATACGAATGTAGACCATTGAAGACGGAAAAAAAAACCCCGAAAGGATAAATATTTAGTATAAATAGGGAAGATGTAGATGGTGTAGGGCGTGCAGAAAATTAGTGGGCTGTATATGGGGGAGCTCTAGCCTCTCGAATGCTAGTATGTACTTAGTTTTCCTTGTTAATTGAAGCATCTTACAGTGGCCTTATCACTTGGTTTTTATTTCAATTGTTTAATCGAAATATTTTAACTATTTTCCGTATACAGATGATATATACTTCAAAACAAAAAGACGGAGACAAGCACCATATCACCAGTAGGCTGTGCTGCAAGACTTTGCACAGAAGCAGTATGCCCACGAAGAGTTCTAAAAGCTCTAATTTTCATGTCCTCCGCTGAAGGCTCTGCATCAAACTTCAAGATGGAAGCATCATTTTAGAGTTGTTAATTCCACGTAGTCATGTTTTAAATGAGAACAGCTATGTAAATTTACCTTCCAGAGTTTCACAGTCTTGTCTTTTGAGCCAGTGGCGACAACCAAATTGGTGTCATTCTCATTATCTTCAGATTCAGCAAGCAATAATCAGAAGACAAACAACATACTTGATAAAAATGGCAGACTTATTGATGGAAAATTCAACTTCTAGATTGCAATGATTTAAAGTTAATATAAGTAATCATTTGACTAACTACATTAGATTTGCACCAAATGTTATCCCAAGACCCAGCATCAAACAAGTTTGGTTGTGTGAAATTATAGATAAAGGGCAATTTGTTTAGATGGAATCTGTTCAACTGAGCATTTAATAGTAATTTGTAATTGCATGTAATAATCCGATCAAAAATCATTTATATTCATCAAGTACATGATACTCTCTCCATCTCAAAATAATTGTCCATATTTATATTTTAGTTTGTCCCAAAATAAGTGGCCACTTTCAAAAGTAAGTACCTAATCCAATTCTACCCTTAATCATGAAATCGAGAATTTCATTACTCCTATTATTAACGTTAAAATTGTCATTTAGTTTACTAAAAAGTGTAACAATTACACATTTCAAAAACTGTGTGCCTTTTTCATTGTGGGCATTTATTTTGGGACGGAGGAAGTATAAAAAGATGATATATTTGCAAATCAATGTTGAAGAGAGCACTTGCTATCATACCTTGTGCCTTCACGACACGAACCGATGTAATTGCATCATTGTGCCCCTCCAAAATATGTGTACAAACTCCAGCAGCTTTCCATATCCTAAAATGTATATACAAAGTAACATACACTTTTTATTGCATGTTATTTTCATGGAGAAAAAAAAAGCCCGGTGCATAGAGTCTGTTGGAACATTTATGTCATTACCTTCCTAATCCATCATAGCAACCTGTCAAAATGAACCTGCCCAATGAAACAAATTTAAACAGTTTTCAGTAAAGACAATTTTACCAACATGGCAAGATCCAGAGGTCCGCTACACCTAGAGAATTTATCATTTGCACACCCAAAAACAACTTTCTAAAACCTTTCAATCTTATAAACAATCATTTTCACACCCACTTCATGAATTTGTATACTGAGATGACAGAAGAAAATATTGTTTCGACAAAAAATAGGAAGATCAAAATGGAAGTTTATTGCTACAAGTGAACAGGCTTACCGGTTTGAACCATCAACTGCACTGACCCAATCATCATGTAATGAAGGATCTTCTTCCTTTCGTGGAGCTACAGCTTTTATGTATTCAATTTCTAGGGTTTTCTCCTGTTGTTGAACAGATGTTGCAGTCAGGTATCATAAGACGAATATGGGATGAGAAAGTAGAAGATCAATGGCATCTCTTAAATATGTATTTTGACATTCCATCCTTTAATATCTCTTCTGTTAGAACTTCAAATTTTATTTAGATGCTAAATGAATGATAACATATGGTCTGATTGCTATTCATAAAAAAATTCAATGGATGATTCCTGTGGGAACAAAATGAGCGATGTACGCTTTTTGTATTTTCGTTCATCTTGTATGTTAGGTTCAACTACGAAAAGGATAATCCATGAGAGCTATATAGGATGTGCAATGAACCACTAAAAAATCTATAATATAGACAAGGATGATGCCCAGAAGATGTAGTAAATTAATCGAGTTGCATTTTTTGGTAATAATGGTGTTCGGGCCAACTTGTGAGCACCTCGACTAACCCCACGGGGTCTTGAAGATAACAGCCAAAAAAAATCCTCAATGGCCCTGAGAATACTCAAACCGGCAACCTATGGGGAGGAGCCCGAGGTCTAGCCTTTATTTGTCGGTTCAGCTTGCCCTCAAGGTTAATCAAGTCATCAATTTAATTTACTTTTTGAAGGTTATGCCTAATAACGTTCTTGAGGCGGCACCTTTTAGCCCCTGGAAGATGTGTACACCCTGGTGGCCAAAGGCGGTGAGGCATACGCCTCTGTTTAATGTCTCCGTCCTGATCTTTTTATTACAGGGACTGAAAACCTAAAAAGTTGTACTTTTTTAGTTTTTTATTTGAAAACCCAAAAGGAGAGCTGTTTTCTAAGTAGAAAACAAAATTGGTTCTTTCTTCTACACAACATATATTTAGTATATATATATATTGTGTGTGTATTAATGTATTGTATTATGGTCATATGGGATTACGTTGTACATGTTAATAATGTTTCAAATATCATTTACTTTCCGCCTCCAGCATTGTTCAACTACATCAAGGGGAAAAAGCACAATAATTTAATGAAAATAACAAGATAAGCACCCCACGCACAGTCACTAAGGTCAGTTGAGTTGCACATCATGGGATCCAAAAACACTACAAAACTTCCCCAGTTCATTAGAAACCAAACAGATAAATCATAACAACACGTGTTAGAAGTTAGATGAGCTGAGTAAAAGTATACCGCTGAGATGCCCTTTGCAAGAAGAAAGTCTTCAAGTGACATCCTCACCAACTCACCATCAATAAGGAAATCAAATGGTTCAGGTTTCCAATCATCATTTCCTAGTAAAAATAAGGTTAGATGACATACAAGTCCATGCTAATCTAATTACATACAGTGTTCCTATTTTTGGAGCCTGATATGTAAACTTGATCTTTCAATATGCAAAAATATAAAATGTATAGCTTTAAATCTATGTCATTTAAAGCTACAAAAACAAGCTCATAAAGACCTATTCACCTAGTCAGTAACGACTTATAACAATAAAAAGGTTAATTTTACAGTACAGGCCATCAAAGCCTCGAGAAACATTATGACATAATCATATTAAACATGACATAAAGGCCTGTTTACATGTTTAATTGTTCAAACAGTTCATTTATCTCCGTCCATGCTAATATAAAACAAGTCTCTTGTGACTTGCATAAATGATAGTCTTCCACATTCCCATTATAATTCATGAGTAACCATTAACCAGTTTCATACCCCCTTTTATATAAACAGGCATATGTTCCTTCGTCGGTTGTTAAGGCCTTGAGGGCATTATAGCACTACAACAAAATTGGCCTTATAGGATGCCAAGTATGCTTAAATGTCCTAAGAGACTCACTTAAGTTTTAAAGATCAAACAATTGGACGTCTTATGTAGTGTTTACAATAAGTTGATAGGGCGTTCTTACAAAGTCTAACAAGTATATTATAACATTTTTTAAACTGCTTATTAGTCTTTTTTATATGACATTACTTGGAAGAAAAATGTCTTATAAAAACAAAGACAAATGTCCTATAAAAAAACTAATAGAACACTTTGAACAAAAAGCTAATGGTGTCCTAATTTGTTCGAATAGTTCTAACATCCTACTGTAACACCTTTTTATATGATACACAAGTGTTTGGTCCAGTAAACTTCCTATAAAGCTGTCTATTAGAACATCTAGACATGTTTCGCTGTCTTATTTTGTTAAAGTGTACTGTGTACATAATAAGCCCATCGCAATCCAGTTTATTTGACTATGTAAAAAGCAAGTAGCACCAAGAGCTCTAGGTTTCAAGATCAAATAAGACATCTTCATTTCTATAAACTAATTTCCAGTATCCTGAAACCCCATTATCTCATTTGACCAAAAAAAAAAAGAATCACAAATATAGTGTAAAGAAGAATAACCTGATTGAAGAAGGTTGTTAACCACAGCAGATAGCCCCATTCTGGTAAGGTTAGAAGGAAGCGCAATGGACGTCGTTGGAGCTTTAAACGGCGGCTGAAGCTTCGTAAAAAACCGCACTTGAACTCTTCGTAAAACATCTTCAACATCTCCATCGATGTCCATCTTCGATACAATCAAATATCCAATTACCTCCAAGAACTGGGGAGAATTCGGCGCAGGAAAAGGAAGAAAACTAGGGTTTAAAGAAATGAAGAAGAAAAACCAACACAGGCTCCAAACGTTTTATCAGGGTTTTAGTAATTAGCAGGTGATTTTCTTTTACCAATTTACAGTTTTTGCTTTTTCTTTCGAAGAATTACAAAATATACCCCTAACATCAAATTTTCTGACTTTTTAAGCCAGTCATTTAAAAAAAAAAAATTTCATTTACTCTTCGGGGTTGTTTGTTTACCTCTTAATAGTTTCATTAAGAGATGAATCTTGTTTGGCAAAAAAAATTCTGCCTCTTAATGATTCTAAAATCCTCTGAATAGTTTTGTATCATGTATCTCCCTTAACCATTAAGAGCCTTAATTTCATTGTACACAATTACCAAACAATTATATTATATTTTATTTTGCACTATATCATGAGAGCTGCTTAATCATTCTGACCACTTAATTATTCAGCACCAAATCATTCAGCAATTGTCAAACAGCCCATTTTTCTTTCCAAATAAATTAGATTATGTTTTATTCAAATTTTGGTGGAAAACAATATTCGTTTGAAAGATTTTTTCATAAGTGGAAAACAAACATGTTTTTTCATTAGGAATGACACGTTCGAGAAAAACCTAATTGGCTAAAGCTTATTGAACAAGTCGTTGCTTATATCATTAAGTCGCTATCAAATAATCATATATAACTGACTAAATAAGTTGTAAGTCTCATTAAGCTTATTAAGTTGTTAACAAACAGACCCTTAATTGGTTTTTCAAAGTTGTGAGTTCCGTTAAACAACTAACAACCAGACCCATAATCTTTCCACTCTCGAGCCATAGCAAAAGTTTACACATATCTTACTCTTATTATTTACATCATGATAAAAATATAATGAATTTATTTGATTTTGTTTAATTACAAATCTTGGTCTCATTTGGCTTCTTGTTGATAAGTTTGTTGTTGACACCTGACATGTTTTTTGATAAATTTTTAAAAATAAACTAGCGTATAATAGAAAGACATGTCCTGCTGCTCTTAAAAGAAATGGTGATTCTATTTATTTTGTTAACCGTTGGTGTCCAAACCAGCTTGTATGCCCACTGACTGATCCCATAGACCTTGCAAGACTCGAACCAGTGAAAAATGCAAACCTTATTATCAGTTGAACTAACTGATAGCATAAGAGTGGTGATTATATTACAACATATTAATAAAAGAAATCATACAAAATATTTCTTATATGAATATAAAAATTTATGTTACAGAGGAGGGTTGGGTCCAGACTTTAGACCCAGACTCGACTCGACCTGACCTGTACCGGACCCAATCAATTTCAAACATACAACTTGACCCGTAGTCAATTCAAATCTACAGATTTTGTCCCTTACGAGCCTGCAAACATGGATTATTCCTGCATTTGCAGGTCCCACAGGACAAACTTCCATGGATTTGATGGGCGTACGGTTCGATCTCCGAACCCATACCCCATTTACAAGAGCTCACAAAAGAACACCCCTAACATAAAAGATAATAATAACACACTCAAAAAACCAGTGGTATCACTTTCTATGGAAACTATGTAATGATTTTGGAGCTCCTTCAAACAGATCCAAAATAAAATTCTCAAGATCATCAGCAGTATGCTTGATATATTTCTCACTGATATTATTCGCGTGCCGACCAACGAATGTTCGATAAGCTTGAATCACCTTAAGCGACATCGAGATCCTCACATCATCACGAAGTTGACTGTTCGGTATTGACCATCCTGATTGATTTTTATAGATCTCTTCGAAAGCGGTGTAAAATGCCTGCAGACGCTCCCTGAGTAGCGTTTTCGAGGTTGAATTCGAGCTACCGGAATTCGAGAGACCATCGTCTCGAAGTAGATTCAGAATCGAGCTCCAGGTGGCTCGTTCGTAGCTCATGGCGTATTGTTGGAACTTCCAGTTTCGTTTTCGAATCCAGTCATCGCCAAGAACGGTTCTTAGCTCGGAAGTTTTCACCTTTTCGGCCATGTAATGGATGTTGTTCATCATGAAAAGGTGTCCGAGTGCATCGTCTTTGTATAACTTTGATTTCTCTTCAAGGTTGCATTCAAGAATCGACATTAGGGATCTGAAATGAAACGCCATTGGAGACGAAGATGAGTTTCCGTTGTCGGTACCGTGTTCGGAGCTTGGACTCGTGTCAGGTGAAGATGACGAATCTTGATCCGGGTTTTTCAGGCAGGTGTTCAAGGAATCGCTGTAATCGGTCAGGGTTTTGATGTAATTCATGACGTAACGAGTAAGATGGTGGTTCCCGCCACCCGGAAACGCGCTATTTGACGTATTCGACCCGACTGCATTCTCGAACTCGATAAACGTCGCCTTCACGCAATCGCCGACCCGTGTCAGAACATCTTGGCATTCCATTCGTATGTAGGATCCATTCTCATCAGAGTACAAACCCTCAATATCCGGCATAAGATCGGCCAAAACTTCATACATGTCGAGAATCCGGAGAAGTTTCTCGGGTTGGTGAGGACCGATGGCAATGGCTTCTGCAAAGTTCAAAAGCTGCAATATCGAAGCTTTCGACGACTCACAGAAACAAATCGAACTGACGGTCACGGATTCCCCTTGGCCAAATATCTGCTCGCACAAAAACTTCTCGCTTGCAAGATAAACCCGTACGAAAATCCGCATCGCCTTTATCCATCTCCTGATCCTCGAGTTCAACGAAACCCATTCCATCTTCAGAACCTCTTCAATGCTTAATTTCTCAACTTCAAGAATGAAAAGACAATCATCGAGAGCATCTTTACGTGCGTTGATGAACGCTTGAGAACATTCTCGACCATAATTTGAATCAAACATTAAATTAGCAATGCTTTTCAGATCAGGAATCACCTGAGGATTCACCAAATCCATAATATAAACCTCGGCTCCACGGCTGACACTATCTCTTTGAACCGAATCATCAAGCGAATCATCCCCAAAAGAAACAATCGAGTTCTCATCTAGACCATCATCTTCGCTAGAACGAAACGACAAATGTTCAGGCTCGAAGTTTTGCCGATTATGAACAAGCATATGCCTAAACTCTTCTTCGATTCTAGCCATGGATGTCTGAACAACGGAATTAACCTTTCTCAAGTGAACATTATCGTCTTTACTTAGATTCAAATTCTCTAAACTCTCGGCTAATCTTCGAGCTTMATCCACCGCCTTCAAATACTCCTTGGCTTCTTCGGGATCACAATCCCATATCATGGATTCTTCAGCCTCCCAATTCATGATCTTTTCCTGAATCAAATTAATCCGTCCTTTGATATCGCTTAGTTCTCCTTCTTCATCTTCATCTTCGGTTACAGTGATCTCTGCCATGGATGACAATCGGGTGCCTAAATCCACCAATATTTTCTTCGCTCCATCGGTTATTTTCTTGTTGGAATCCAATGCTTTCAGAATAAGCCTAGCAGCAGCAATCAAATTCTCCTCCTCCAGTGTTTCCATCATTGGATTACAGCCACCCATATCAAAATATACACAAAAGAACAAAAGAAAAACACCCAGAAAACCCTCAAACTAAAAGAGGAATTTCATCAAACACTTGGTGTGCAAACCAAAAATCATAAATTCAGCTCAAAACTCATAAATACAACAGCCCGTTGACTAGCAAACCAGAAAATGAAAGAGGAATTTCTTCAAACACATGGTGTGCAAGCCAAGAATCATGAACTCAACTCAAATTCATAAATACAATAGTCCCTAGACTAGCAACCCAGAAAATGAAAGAGGAAGTTCTTCAAACATTTGGTATGCAAACCAAAAATCATGAATTCACCTCAATCTCTCAACAATCAGGTGCAAAGTTAACAAAAAGAAGATCGAAATCGACCAGCTTGAACTAAACCCATAAACAAGATCATATCTAAATCCCCAATTTCTCGCTAATCAGGACGAAAGCCCCTCAATTTCCGGGTGGGGCATCGTAAACTATCAATCAATCAAACCAACAGAACAACAAACGAATCTCGATTATCAAATTCCACTCTTTCCCACCCACAATCAAAAAAGAATCTAAACGAAAAGAACACAACACACGTCAATCACAAATATCTCATGAAAAGTGATTGAATGATTGTGTTTCTAGATAGAATTAGAAGTCGACAGAAATAGAAACAACTGACCCTTTTTTGAACTAGAAGTGAAGACAAGATCAGCTATGAGGAGTGTTGTTGGTGCTTATGGAAATAGGAGGATCCAAGCAAACAATCTATCAATGTCCGCTTGGCTTGATTTATGTAGCAATATGTACGGATATGGATTCTTGTAGCCGGCTGTGAGCTGTTTCTTGGAATTTTTTTTTTATTTAAAATTTTAATTTAATTTTAGGAAATATTATCAGTCTTTGTGACCAAACAGCAGCCGTTTCCGGTGTGGTTGAATGTAGATTGTGTACGTGGCGCTTTGTTATTGGATTTTGTAGATAGATCTCGAGGAAAACCAATATGATTTGGGATTTGTTTATTTAAAACAACTTATATAAGTTAGAATGGTTTACTTCTTTAAAAAAAATTATTATTGGTTTGGTATCGGTATAAATTGTTTATTAAAACACTCAAATGTGTTTATTACTGGTGTCACACCATAATAAGTTAATAAGTTGTTTTTATAAGTAATCTCAAACACCCCTTAAAAATTATATTTCATGAAAAAGTATAAAAAAAATTAAAATTTCTAAAAGAATTACGTTCAATTGCTTTCAAATATTATAACATAAATTACAGGGTTGTTTAGAGAGTGTACTGATATAAGATTCCGAATAGAATCCTCTAGGTTTTTTGGGATCCTAAAACTTTTTAGGTCCCAATTTTATATATTTTAACATGTACCCAATTATACATATGTATATACTTTGGATCACGTGAAGCAGCTTGTTTTCGTGAAACTCATAATACCACTTTTTTATACTTGAAACTTCACAGCAAAATGATGTGAACGTAAGGTAACCTTCACATGGTTTTTCCTATGAAGGTTTGACTTTTTTTTTACTTTCACAACATTTTGCTATGAAGTTTCAGGTGTAAAAAAATGGTCTCACGGGTCTCTCGAAAATAGGTTCGTCTCACGTGATCCCAAGTCTCTATATATAAATCACAAGGGTGGTGCCTGATTGGTTTAAGTTTTGCTTCAAATGTCAAAAGTACATTAATGTCTCAGGTTCAAATCCAATGAGGAATAAAAATCTCATTGGAACTATATATCTATCTATATATCAAATTTTAGAAAATTATTTAAACTTAAAGTTTTTTCTATTTTAGAAAACATTATAGAGAATCTGTTGAAGCAATATAGAGAACAAAATCCTAATTTTCTCTATTTTAGAAGATCTGTTGGAAATGTCATTACTGCTCTATTTTTTTACCAATATATTTATATTTTTAGTGTATTGAATTTATCTAATTTATATAAAACTTATTTTATTATACCATTATCTTTGTCCTAAATTAAGTGTATTAAATTCATCTAATTTATTGTTGTCTTCATTTATTGGGTAAGACTTTTGGTTCTTGTCTTGTCTTACCCGGTAAGATTCTTGGTCCTTGTCATATCCATCCGGCGAGGTGATATGAGTTGGTAAGCACTTACCCAAATAAGTATTTGATAAACGATCCCTCAGTGTTGGGTTGGATAAGAGAACACCTCAATATCTATTATACTTTAGTCAATTAAAAAGCATACTAATTACACATTTTTTGAATGGTGCGTTTATTATTATGAAATTTTATTTTGGAAAAAACTAATCAATCGCTTTCTTTGTTTCGGTAACGTTACTTGATCAAACCTGAATTCCTCGATAAAAATTACCGTGGTAACTTTTATCGTAGTTACTTTTTTCGTAAAAAAAACCCAAACAATTTCACATATTTAATCATTTATATGATTACATACTATTGTGATCCTTTTTTTGCTCAAAAATAAATTTCAGGTTTTTTAAATCTATACTATATTATAAAGTATTTGACAAAAACTCTTAAGAACCATTTTTTATACGTAAAATACTGTTTATTAATGCATATTACTTAAAACTCAAAATTACAAGTAGATTGTGCGTAAGTACAACTTATTAAAGCTTCATACATGAATTCATGTAACTAAATGCAAATAAACATAATCAAATACATGATAAACATCTTATTTTAAAAATAAAAAATCTAAAATATAATCAGGATAATTATTGAATTCTAACAGAATACTTAATTATTATCTTTATAAAATGTTATATTATTAAACTAATTTTTTTAAAAGAAATTACATAAAAAATGAGAACTTTTAAATAGTTGATTTGATATGTTTTTTTTCCTCGAATTTTTATGATATTTTCAAATTTATATTTTATTCAAAAATAAAATCATTGTTGTTTTCTTAAAAACACATAAAATCTTATTATAACATTGATAGAGACAAATAATAAAATAGAATATTAAAATCGAGATGTGTCACGTTGCATTGCACGGGTACTATCTAGTATATAAAAATAAATTCTATATATTTTAATTTATTTCGGAGTCTTTTTGTATTAATATTGAGATAAATAATTAAATATTATATGGATGGTTTGTTGAGGTCAACGGTACATGCACCATATTAACTGAAATAAATATTATGACTATAGAACGTAAGAAAAAAAATTTATAAAATATTTTATAATTTTAATAAAGAATTAAATTAAATTTATGGATTAATTCTTATTGATTTATTGAAAAATTAGGTGTAAAAAAATGGTCTCACGGATCTCACATATCTATATACCTCTCTCTCTCTCTCTATATATATATATATAGTTGGGTTTACGTGAAACTCGTAAGACCACATTTTTACACTTGAAACTTCACAGCATAACACTGTGAAGATAAAAAAAATTATGAACATTCATAGCAAAAAAAACACTATGAAAATTATTTTCACAGTGTTTTGTTGTGAATTTTCAAGTGTAAAAAAGTGGTCTCAATAATCTCACGAAAATAGTCTAGTCTCACATGATCCAAAGTCTATATGTATGTGTATATATATATATATATACACACACACACTATATTATAAAATATTTTAAAAACTCTTAAAATCATTTTTTATGCCTAAAGTATTGTATATTGATACACATTACTTACAATTCAAGATATGCATAAATACAACTTATTAAAGCTTCATGTTTGAATTCGTATAAGTAACTGCAGATAAACATAATTATATACAAGATAAACATCTCATTTTAAATATAAAAAATCTAAAATATAATTGAGAAAATCATCGAGTTCTAACAAGATACTTAATTATTATCTTTATAAAATATTGTATTATTAACAAAATAAATTACTCAGTTATTAAACCTAAATTATTAGGATTTATCCAAGGGTGGAAATCATTTTTCTTACCTTTCTCACCATAACTTTCATTCTCACCGAAACTCAACCCTGTTTGACAACCCCATAAGTTTCAATACTTAACCAATACTTAAAATCGTTTTAAGACGATATCATCACATTGACAATTAAAACATTCGGTTTTTAAACTCATTTCTTACACAACACGAGCATAAAACACAAAACAACAGTTACATTACACGAACACTTGATTCACGACCATAATAAATTCAGATAAAACAAACTGAAACTGTGTCAACCAAACCCTAAACAGACAGATTTTTCGAACCATTAATTTCGACGTCAGAAATAAAACAGTATGTTACAATAACCCACACCAATTTTTAATAAATTCCCTTTTTACCCCCATTGAATTATTTTCCACAAATTTTGAAGTCAAACTTGATTTCTTTCAAAGGAAAATCTTTTTTCCCCTTAAAATCTCTCTCTAATTCCTACCCAAATAAATCAAAGTCAAAAAGGCAATCTTTTGCCTTTGACCACATGATACATCTAACAATGATGGTCAAAATGTTGACTTTTGGTCAAGCTTTGGGAAGTGGCTTGCCCCTTAAGAAGGACAATAGTAGTTGCAATGCTGCCCTTGGCTTGAACAGTGGTACTTCATGACCTGCCCCTCTGACTGTTGCAAATGTTAGCCCCTCATATACCTCTGTCCATCCTCCCACCTACACATGAAAAACCGAACTTTACGGTTAACAGTCCGGACATGTACGTGTAAATCTTGAGTTACGGATGTTGGAAGAATACGTGTTTGTGATGTGGGTCTTTTGTGTTCTTGGATCGTTGATGCATGTTTAAAGACGGTATGCATCGGTGAGTTGTTATTTAGCATCAGTGGTTTCGTGCATTGTAGACTTGTACAGTACAACTCAATCAAACAACGACATGCACAAAAGCATGGACATATTCGACTTTGTATGACACTGATATATATATATATATATATATATCCAAATGTCCTAATAGACTGTATTATAAAAGTTAAGTTTATAAGACCGAACAATTGTGTGTCATATTTAAAAAGGGGTGAACCTATGATGGCCCAACGGATTACATGTACTCGCTCAATTTTTTTTTGCAAGTAGAATTTTTTGGGGTATGAAAGGCGCACACACTAAGTTTTTCAGAGGTGCTATGAGATATTAGAAGATATAATAAAGGACAAAAAAGAAATTGAAAAACTCTCACGGAATGAACCAAAAGATTTTAAAAAATCCTTCGAAACAGTGAAATTCAGCTAAAAACACACATCAAACGACTTTGCGGACCTTTGATCCACCTTAAAGGTACACCCACTTGGCAAAAATCTTGGGTCCGACGATGCATGTAAAGGTGTTATAATAAGTTGATATGACGTTTTTTAATGTTTTAACAAGTTTTTTTTATGAAGTACAACGTCGTATTAGTTTTTTTATATAATATTATTTTAAAATATCTTATAAAAACTTGTGTTAATAGAAAATTTCTCAAAAGTATTGTATAAAAAAAATTAATAAAACATGTTATTTCAAAAATGTTCTAAAAAACTTGTTAAGATATCTAAATACGTCTTAACATCTTTCCGTAACACTTTATAAAGTAAACACAGTTCTTTGATCTTATAAATTCATGTCACATAAAATAGTCTATGGAGCCATTTAGATATTTTGACGTATTATAATATGCATTGATGAGTTGTACATTTATGCGATGTGGACATGTAGTTGGAATATTATATATACTATATATATATATATATGCATTGATGAGTTGTACATTTATGCGATGTGGACATGTAGTTGGAATATTATATATACTATATATATATATATATGCATTGATGAGTTGTACCAAGAGGGTTAAACTAACCTGTTTCTTGACATACCAAGGATACCATGGAACCTTGGTTTTTAACTTGAGTTGTGCTAGTGCATACCGTGTCGCTGTGACTGGTACCACTGAATCAACATCCCCACTGCCATTTTACAAAAACAATATAAAAAATAAACTCAAATAATTCCATATTTTTTTTTATTAACCTGGATATCCGACTCGCTATGCGAGCCGACTAATCTAAAGACGACCACCTGCTTTGCAGATAGCCCGGAGTCACTGCATTTGAACCTTCGTGGCCACAAGGAGATTTTTATTTCTCCTTGGATTTGAACCTGTGACATCCAGGTACTTTTGACCTTTGGAGCCAAGCTCAAACCAATCAGGCAGCATCCTTGTGGCTAATAATTCCACAATTTTGTAACACAGAGTCGAAAAATACCTGAAGACCCAAATCCTCAATCCAGCATCAATGAGTTCACGGTATATCGGAAGAATCGACACGTCGGTATCGTTCCAGTTCCGATTCAAAGTCTCGCTATCGAAAACAAGAAAATAAGGTCGAGATTTACTTTTCGAAACATCGTATTTGACTTTGTTACGGTGAAAGTGTAAAAAAATACACCGATAAAAGACAAAGTGGTTAACTAAACTACCCAAAACGAGCTTGTACCACAACAAAATCGGGTTTATAGGACGTCTAAAATGTTCAATTGTCATAATAAAGTGCTTTATAGGACTACAAAACAAACCGTTGTAGCTAAAAGTGTTGTAATAAGTTTATATGACGTATTGGACGTCGTAATAAGTTTTTAGGACATTTTTAATAAAATATTGTATTAGCTATTTTATATGATGTTATTTGAAAAAATGTCTTATAAACACAATTGCCTATAAAAATATGAGATTATAGAACATTTCTCAAAAGTGTCATATAAAATAGCTATTACGATATTTTATTTTAAAACGGTCCTAAAAAAACTTGTTACGACGTCCAAAAACATCTTATAAACTTATTGTAACACTTTTAGATAAAATGTTTTAGTTTTTGGTCTTATAAAGCACTATATTAAGACGCTTAAACATTTTAGACGTCCTATAAACTCAATTTTGCTGTAGTGATCTCACCTGTAGGGGGGTGTAGGGGTGAAATGTACTCAGACCTGACCTCTACTACAAAAAGCAGAGTCGTTGGTTTCACATAAATTATGAAAATATAAATGCAAAATACCTGCAAGCAGTCCATTTGTATGGAATCCTTGTCGTATTAGCGTGAAGCGCCTTTTGAACGTCTTGTCTATTGTAATAAACCTCTGCGTACCTTTCTGTACACGGATCATAACCCGAAATCTGTCTAAACATCTGTAAAAAAACACACATATCTTAAAAAGTCAAAACAATAAAAACTACCAAATAATTTTTGAATTTGTTCAGAAACCAGAATACGTACACGATGGGGTCGATGGGGCAACTGCATGGTTTGACGGGTCGCACTCGAGTGGCTACCATCCGAGTTGTTACAAGGGGGTGCATAAATGTTGTATTGGTCAATATTCCCGAATTCTTGGTCCATAGCGTAGCTATATAACGATTCACATTCGTTCGAATTCTTCTGGCGCCGAAAGTCACAAGTGTTAATCAGTTGGTGGTATGTCTTATCGGATATCATAGCATGACTCCACCAGTACGTCACCGTTCCAAGGTTATCATAGTAATTATCCGTCACCGCATTTCCGACCTACAATAATAGAAAACCCACAGGTCATTAGTTCAAATCTTCTTAATTATGAGAGTAGTCGAGGTGTGTGTAAGCTGGACATTTACAGTTACCAAAAGAAAAAGAGAGAATAAAATACCATAATTCCCTTGAGGTTGATGAAATTGGAACCGGAATCAGAATTGAATTTTAGAATTTGTCGTGCCAACTGTGGGACATAATGACCGGCGTAACTTTCTCCGGCTATATAAACTTCGCGGTGTTTATAACGCGGGAATCTCTCCATCCATCGTATCACAAACTGAAGTGAATCTTGAGCTAAAAACAACAAATCAAAAAGCTCAAATCATATCTCTTTTCCACACGAATAATTCGACAACGACGTCAGTTTTTCATAATTTCTCTAAAATCGTTAATTTTGCAAACTCTGATGCTTTCAATCAAGAAAACGCCTTTTGACGTGGTTTTATATCACATGTTGAAATTAAGTAGACGAGGTACTGGATCCTACCGGTGCGACGATCGCCAGTGTCCAGAAGGTCAGAGGAACGGTTGCTATACGAGAAGCCGACTCCGGCTGGAGTTTCGAGAAACAAGATGTTAGCTGCGGTGTTCCATGAAAACTTGTTAAGGTGCAACCCTGTAGCCCCTTTGTTTATTCTAAAGGGGCCAACTTCTTCGGATGCACCATAAGCTACAGAAGAGCATCCAGGACCTGAAGGGTAAAATAGTCTTTTACAAATTAAATAACATAAATGAACAAATTGAAACAATAAAACATAAAAACCAATTTGATGAATAAAAAGAAATTTATGTTAGTAATTCATTATAATTGAACAAGTATGACGTCATTAATATTATTACAAGAATATAAGTAGAAAATGGATTAATATTTTTATTTTAAATATAAAAATAAAAATATAATGATGTTTTTAATTAATGTACAATAATTCTAAAATCATCCACGTACTTTGTTGGAAATTGTGATTTTCATTATCTTTTTTAAAAAGGGTAAATTACATGAAAAAATAACATATTTTAATTTAATTCATATTTTGAGAAACATATTTTTAGAACTTTCATTTTGATACCTAAAATGTAAAGTTTAAACATTTAAGCATTAACCGGTTACCATGCTGATGTGACGAGTGATGTAATATCCAGCTCAGTATTATTTGTTGAAGCATTAACTGGATACCACATCACTCGTCACATCAACATGGTAATCGGATACTTAAATGTTTAAAACTTTACATCTTATGTACCAAAATGGAAGTTTTGAAAGTACGCTATCTAAAATAGGAGTCAAGTTAAAGTACGTTACTTTTTCAAACAATTTACCATTTTAGAAATTATAGTTTTTTATGGTTTTATAATTCATTCACGTGGTTTATAATTTATTACTCTTTTCATCTCTCATCCTTGACGGTGGACCACTAACAGAGTTTACTTCAACGATGAAAACAATAGTGAAATTGCAAACCAATGAGAAAAAACTATGATTTCAGAAACAAATTAAAATCGCTTTCAACAAACCACATGAACGAAAAGAACAATTTACTCTAAAATTTAAACGTATGACGTATGGAATAAAATTCATGAATAGTAATATCACATTATACAAGCAAGAACAGTATAAAAAATCGGTAAGCAGTATAGGAGTTGCAAAATAAGGATTGTCAGACGTTATCTATCTGGTAAAGGGTCGAAATGGGTTTTTAGAAAAATTTGGTTGAATACAAAAAACGAAATTATGAGAAGCAAAAAAATGAACCCAGTACGATGTTAAATCAAACCGTAAACCAAGTAGAATCTTCAAAAAAATTATGCTTAGTCGAAAATATAAATTAAACGTTGTTATTTTAGATTTAAGAATAGAATTGGACCGAACGTAGTTGGTTTTGATTTAATTCAATTATTCGGTTTAGTGATTGTTTGTTTACCTCTTAATAGTTCCATTAAGAGACAGTCTCTGAATCGCTAAAAGGTGAATTTTGTTTGGCAAAAAAAAAAGTCTGCATGTTAATGGTTCTAAAACCCTGTAAATGATTTTGTATCATGGGTCTCCCTTAACTATTCAACGCCTAATTTCACCGTAAACAATTATATTTCATTTTGCACTATATCACGAGAGTCTATTAGTCATTTTGACCACTTAATCATTCTACACCAAACCATTTAGCAACAGTCAAACAGCCCCTAAAAAACCGACATACAACTATAAAAAATATTATGTCTTAAAACACTAGTAAAAGCTCATGTTTTACCTAAATCCTACTCATGTTTTACCTCAATTGTTGAATATCATAACTTTTAAAATCTATGAAAAATGTTTCACATCTTATTATTCATCAAGTAATTATTTTAACATTTAATCAACAATCATATAATTACTTTAAATCGGAAGCTTAATTTTTTTTAAATATATAACATTTATATACGACAAATAAAACAAATAAACTCACACACCCTCTTCACATTTAGTAAGCTTTAAACCCTTGACCTTCTAGTAGGCCAAAGACTCACATACCACTAGGCTTAAATTTTACACGATGAACACCCGTATTTTGCGAGATCTTTTTAAATCACCTTAAAAATCATTATTTCTAATCTCATGTATAATTGTTACAGTGTTTAATTAATTAAATGATAGCTTTATGATTAAGACATTAAGGATAAAATCGAAAAATATGGGGTTATTTGGATACTCTGTTTTTGTTCTGATGTCTTAACTCTGTTTAGAAATAACAACAGGGCTGAATCCCATGTTCAGTATTTTCAGGCACCCAAACAGAGCAATTATTTCTCACCCTAAAAAGATATCCAAATATTTTTCAAGATTCCACCTTTTTTCAAGAAAATGTATTTATTACATCTACCCAACTCATTAATACGGTAGATACAACCATAAAATTATAATAAGACACGAACCCATTTCAAAAATTCAAGATTATGAGTATAAATTAACAAAAACCCTTTTCAAGAATTCAAGATTATGATGTAAATTCAGTAAAAAAGACGAAAAAAACTGGAATTTAGAGCTTCAGAATCTTGTAAACAAGCAATGTAACAGTATCCCATTATATATGTGTGTGTATGTGTATATATATATATATATATATATGTATATGTATGTATAGGTATATGTATATGTATGTATGAAGATTTGCTAACCTCCGTTGAGCCAGATGACAAGGGGTTTAGAGAGAGGGTGGTTGGGGGTTTCGGTAAGCCAGTAAAAGAGGGCTCTGCCGGCGGCATGGTTGACGGTGACGTAGCCGGAGAACTGGTGGAAGGAGACGGTGGGTTGGCCGGGAAGTGACGTAATCCGGTCAGCTTCTTCTTCTTCTTCATGAAGATGGTTATTGTTGTGAAGGGTATTTGGGTGAGTGTGGGTGAGTTGAAAAGCAAGAAAGAAGAAGAATGGAAGGATGAGAAATGAGGGAGAATTTCGTAATTTCGCCATGGGTGAGATGTTAGTATTGGCTATGGAGGTTGGCTTCTAAAGACAAGAACTCAAGAAGCCATAAGGGGTGGGTTAGGGGAGTGCCCTGGTTTATGATGAGGATGGATTTAATAGGAGAGAAGGAGAGGGAGGGTTGGGGTGATGGATTTGAATAAGGTTGTGTTAGTAGTTTTTCCGGTATGATAACTAGTTAATGATTCAAACGGATACTACATCAGCATGGTAATCAGTTAATGATTCAACCGGTTATCCGGATACTTAAATGTTAAAATTCTTACATTTTAGGTATCAAAATGAATGTTTTCAAAGTACGTTACCAAAAATATGAATCAAGTTAAAGTACATTACCTTTTCCATGCGATTTACCCTTTTAAAAATATATTATTTTATTTTAACGATCGGTTAGCAAATTAATGGGTATCTTTGTAATTTTGTTAATCTTTTCAATTGTTGCTTTTTCTTTCCTTTCATTTCTTTCCCACGTTAGGGAGGAAAATCATTATATTTTTCTTTCCATTATCGACTGAAAAATCTCGTAAAACACGATTTTTCCTTTGTTCTCCTCCTTTCACTTATTTCCTTCGTAAAAAGGGTCTTGTTTTGGTAACAATGGATTTTCAGTCTAGTTTACACACACTAACTAATCTGTCGGACAACCGCGACTTGTTTGGAGTCATCACAGATGAATCTCGCCCACAACGGCTTTGGTTGCACCTTGATTCGGGTTGAGAACACAGCGACAACGCTTTTATGGGTTTCATCTGACTTTTCTCTTTATTTAATCAACTATAGACAAGAAACTGCATTTTCATTCGATTTTTGTTTTAATTAATATGATTTCAAGTAAATATCCATGGATCTAGGGTTTAAAAATGTTCATTTTAATAATGAATTCTAATTTTAACATCTTTTTAGAAGTACATTTTATAAAATAGAATGCTAACATAACGTAACTAGGCTTAACGTGTTTCAATAGTCAACAGTCTTTTCTAGATTGAACTTTGAAGAACAAAGATGCCTTACATAACCCGTATGATCGTAACTCATCATTCAAGCACATCATAATACTGTTGTTAATTGCCAAAAATAGAAAGTTTTCTATATCATTGCAGACAGAAATCGATTGAAAGACAATTGTTGGATAAAATGGCAATGAGATGTCACGAGCCGCAAACCAATACCATATGTTTCTTCTTTGTTTCTATTTTTAGACCAGACGAACCCACAATCATCACATTCTTCTTTCACTTTCACTTTTGCCAAACAAAATGCATCTTTTCATCCCATTTATCCTTTCTAAAAAAAGAAAGGATCCTTTTGCAATATGAAAGATGGATTAATACACGACGGTAGACTTATCATCTTTGTCGAGCGGATGCAACGATCAAGATGGATCAAGTGCCCGTAAAGTCATCCGATGTGTTTTAGTCGAATTCCATTCTTTCGACAGATATTTTAAGTTTTTTGGTTGATTTCAAGTGACTTTTTGTTACTCTTTCGGGGTTCTTTTTATTGATTGAGGGACTTTTTCGGTTTTTCTGTTGATGTCCTTTGTATTTTCTAATATCCCGAAGCACCCTTCAAAGTTTAATTTATGCACCTTTCAAACCCCAAAAAATTATAATTTATATATGAAATTGCTCTTAACTAATTTATCCATCTGATCAACTCTTAAATATTAGTGCATTAATTAAGGGTAGATTTGGAAATTCAGTTTATATCTTCATTTATTTTGGAACAAACATAAATAAAAATATGAACACTTATTTTGGAACATGATGAGTATCCCGACAAAAAGTTGATTACCGAAAACTCCAACTGGCCCACATGGAACCCGACTCCAATGACACCAATGTGAGAGAGCATTTTTAGCTGACTCAATGATTGAGACTAACAGGGGGCTGAAATTTAACCCAATATTTGTCATGTATTGACAAATTCTTCTCACCCCTTTATCAGCTGATCTACACGTCAAAGACAACACGGAGGTTTAGAACTTTTTGTCCAAAATATTTTTGAATTTAAGAGCAACTGGTCAAAGATTAGGGGATGATCAACATCCGAGATTCAGGCGTCGATGAACACATTGAACTATCTATGTGCCCGGGAGCCCTCTTCCAAATCAAAAAAGCATGTAGTAGTCCTTTTTATACTAGTCCAACATGATTATATTGCAATTATTGGCTTAAATTATGTGTTCAAAATTAAATTATGTGTAAATTATGTTTTTCCTATTAACCTGGATATCTAACTTGCTAAGCGAACCGACTAATCTCAGGGCGACCACCCGTTTTGCGGGTAACCCGAAGTCACGACATTTGAACATTCGGAGCCACAAGGGAATCTTTATTCCTCATTGGATTCGAACCTGAGACCTCCAGACACTTTTGACATTTGGAGCCCAAGTTCAAACCAATCGGGCACCACCCTTGTGGTTAAATTATGTTTTTAGTCTCTATGGTTTATTCAAAATTGTTATTTACGTTCATGTGATTTTGAAATTATTATTTTCATCTTTACGATTTATAATTTCTTTTTGTTTTTGTTTTTATGATTTAAACCTTATTGTTGTTTTCATTCTCATGGTTTACAATTCATTGTTATTTTAGTTTCTCATACTTAAAGGTAGTACTTAACTCAGAGACGAAAAAAACAATGATGTGTAAACCATAGGGACGAAAACCGTAATTTCAAATTCAGAGATGAAACCTGCAACTTTTAACAAACCACAGGACGAAAAAAATGAATTTACAAGAATAAGACAAATTTTTTTTTGATATCTGATTCGTTTTATCGTACAATAATAAAACAAACAACATATAATTGATTTGCTTGCATTGTACAATCGGTGTCGAAATTTTGTCTTTATGAAGTAAATACCATATTTTCTTGCAGTGGTTGACAAACTTGGTTCGACTTGTGAACTATTCGGTTGATTTTTCATTAAGTTCTGTATGTATAAATATGTCTTTATGGATTAATCCGTCTTTAAGATTGAAGAAGTTTTTGTTTGTAAGAGTTTTTTCATATAAGGAAGTAGCGTGTTTTTTAATTGGAGGAGATAACTTTGAATTTTTTTTTGACTTTTTATATAGAGTCCCTAGAAACTTAGGGGCTGTTTGGCAATTGCTGAATGGTTTGGTACAGAATTATTAAGTGTTCAAAATGATTAAGAGGCTCTCATGATATAGTGCAAAATGAAATATAATTGTTTGGTAATTATGTACAATAAAATTAGGGCTCTTAATGGTTAAGAGAGATTCAGGTACAAAATCATTTAGAGAGTTTTAGAACCATTAAGAGGCATATTTTTTTTGTCAAACAAGATTCACTTCTTAACGATTCAGAGGTTGCCTCATAATGAAACTATTAAGAGGTAAACAAACAACCCCTTAATAACTTATTGAATAATCACATTCTGTATAATTAAGTCACAACCAAACAATCATATATAGTTGATCGATAAACAATACAAAATTCATAAAAATATAACAAAATAAAAGAGAGGAAAAAAAAATCATAATTAGAAAAAAATATAAATTGCATGAAAAAGTAATGTACTTTAACTTGATTATTGTTTTGTGTAACATATTTTCAAAACTTTCATTTTGGTATCTAAGATGTAAAATTTTAAACACTTAAGTACCCGTGTAACCAAGCATTAATCGGTTACAATGTTAATGTGGCGAGTGATGTAGTATCCGGTTAATGCTTCAGCAAATATACTGAGTTGGATATTACATCGCTCGCCACATCAACATGGTAACCGGTTAATGCTTCAACCTATTACCCGAATACTTAAATGTTTAAAACTTTACATTTTAGGTATCAAAATAAAAGTTTTGAAAGTACGTTACCCAAAACATGAATCAAATTAAAATACGTTACTTTTTTGTACAATTTATGAGATAGAATCATAAAACCGTTGTACTATACAAAAATAACGCAATAAAAGATGGTACATTTATTAGAATATTTGAATTAATTAATATGAGAGTAATGGTATTAATGACGCAATAAATGAGTACAAGAATGGAACAGAAGAGTTGTTGCAAACCTTCAGGAATTTTAAATACTTAAATTACAGTACCCAACTGTATAACCCCTTGCGTATATCAATTCATGTATCTATACCCAAATTTATAGCTGTAGGTTTTTATATCAGTTTATATATATCTCGACTAATTTTACTGTATTTTAAAGTTAACAGTCAGATAAATTTTTCAGTGGTCAGATCAGTAATGGATCTAGAAACTTAGGTGATTAGGAACCCTAAGGATATTAAGAAAAAAAATACGAAACTGAGGGTCTGTTTGTTTTTTCAAAATTACCTTATAATACCTCTGAAGTTTGATTCGTTCAGACGTTTGGATATTGAACGTTTGTTTTATTTCTAAAATAAGAGCTTAAAAGCTCTAAATGTCCTCTGAATTTCAAATGGTAAAAGTATAACTTAATATCTCTTAATCCTAATCCGCCTCTATCAAATGGTTCAGTTTTTGGGGGCCGGAAGAGATTTGTTAGCAAAAACTATTTATCTTTTATACTTTTGTAAAAAACTATTTATCTTTTAGATTTTTCAACTAGTTTGACCAATTCAGATTTTAGGATTCAGACGTAAAAACAAACAATCTTACTGATCCAAATTTCAGACTTCAAGACTACCTCTTATAAATCATAAGTGAAATCAAACTTTAGAATTCAGCACCTCTCAAAAAACAAACACCACATGAGTAAGTCACCCAAACCAATGGTTTCGGGTTTTCCGGTTTGGTTAACCAAATAAGGTAAGTTTTGATTTCGTTTTTTTTACCATATAGGTTAAACGAATAGCAGATTATACTATTATTTAATTTATATAATTTCCTTCCACATGAATTGGTTTGAGCATATATAAAACTAACATCAGATGAATTGATTTATATTTAAATTTAAAGAACAATAAATTGAGATATATTTAACAAAATTATCAACCAATGTTATCATTGTAGCATGATTGC